AAAAAATTTTTCAAAAATAATATATAAAAATATTTAGTTATTCTAATTAATCAGATTTATTATATTTTAGATTCTTCTATATTAATAATTCTATTTTTTACTATTTTATAATTTATTAATTATTATATTATAATTTAAAATTTTTTTATAATGTTTAAAAATTACATTAAAAAGATTATATATGATTTGTATAGTCAAACTATTTTATTTTCAAACCTATAATTGAAAAGATTTCTTTTTAATCAATCTAAAAAATCATATTTCAATTTAATTTATTACTATTATATTAAATATAATGCATTATTTTACGAACATCATTTTATATAAAATGTTTTCTCGTTTAAAAATCCTTTTCAAATCTTTCTATAATTAAATTCTTCATTGCTGTTCTTCATTATACTACACAACTTTTTGCATTTTCCAGCAAAAATATGCTTCTAAAAGTAAAACCTGGTAAGTTATTCTTCTCTGCTCAAGTTCTTCATTTTTAATAGACATGAATATATCAAATTGTTCGAGTATAAAATTGATCATAAGTACCATTCCCTGTGACTTTCGCGTCACAAATGACTCCCGTATATCACGTTCCTTTCGTACATTTCAATCGTACCAGATCCAGAGAAAAATTCTACGTTCCCCGTAGCGAAAAAGAAGGAAAGTAGAGGTGCTTAACGAGCTATTTTCTCTAAAGCACAAATGTCACTTTTCATTCCTTCGACTTTCAACCAACCAAGTCTCACGCCAGTAACATCGAGCATGATTGCGCCATACGTACACACCACTCGGCAAAGTATATGACTCTCTTCTACCCCATCCTTTTACCTTCGTTTCGCTTCAGCAAAGTGTGATAGGGTGCGAGATAGAGTTAAGTTTCTCTTTGAGATCTAATTTTCCGACGTTTCAGATTGAATTCNTAACAATAACAATAACAATAACAATAACAATAACAATAATAATAATAATAATAATAATAATAACTTCTTTTCAACAAGAATTATTATTTTAAGAAATGTTTTACTTTTTAAATTTATTGTAAAACTTTTTATATAAAAGATATAAAAAATAAGAAGCACGAAGCAATACACACTACATTGTTTTTATTACTTTTTATAAATTTTTACAAAATACAAATTATAATATTACTTAAATTAATTAAGTTTCTATTGAAAATAGAATTAATATTTTTTTGTAGAAAACAAAATGTCATTCAATTAACATATAAATAATCCATTTAGAAAGAATGATCATCTTCATATGACCTCCATGCAAAAAAAAAAAAATGATTAACACGAAATTATGACTCTATTTTATATTATCCAATTCTAGATTATTCAATTTCTTTGAAATATTT